TGTATTGGTGGTACAAATGTGCGCAATGAAATGCAAAAGCTCCAGGCTGAGGCTCCGCACATTGTGGTGGGAACTCCAGGGCGTGTGTTTGATATGTTGAACAGGCGCTATCTTTGTAAGTATGAATCTCAYTGTGCTCTTGCTAGTAAATTTCCAGGAATAAATACTCACTAAGAGCTTTAGTGTACTTGTTGAACTGTAGAGAGTTATGCTGGAAAGCTTAGTATTAAAAAGGAGCATGATTATTTCTGAAAATTTTATGAGATGCTACTCTCTTTCCACTAGCACCAAAATGGATCAAAATGTTTGTTCTGGATGAAGCTGATGAAATGTTGAGCCGTGGATTTAAGGATCAAATCTATGAGATCTTTCAAAAACTAAGCACGAACATCCAGGTAAAAACCTYGTACACAGTTGAAGTGATAGATGCKRGTTTAGTTATTGCTTGGCTGGGAACTGAATTGTACAAATCAGGATTGGTGTATTGGGTATGTGCTAACAGAGTAATATATTCTAGGTTGTRTTGCTGTCAGCTACAATGCCAATGGATGTGTTGGAAGTGACCAAAAAGTTCATGAGAGATCCCATCCGTATTTTGGTGAAGAAGGAAGAGCTGACTCTGGAGGGTATCAAGCAGTTCTACATTAATGTAGAAAGAGAGGTTGGTAATGTTAYACTTCCTCTAGTAGGAGGAGTTRGGTTCTCTTCCCTTCTTGTTAAAGCACTGTGCTAAAATTGAAGAAACCAAGGCTGAGCTTTGGTTTCTACAATAATGCTAGTAGAGTAAATGCAAGAAGAAGAAAAACTATGCACTGAATCAAAAAGGACTAGGGTGGACCTCTTTCTTAATGTCCAGTGTCCTGTGTCTAAAGATTCGGTGCAACAACTGATGCAAAGTTTTGACTTAATGTCCAGGTTATACTGAGTATAATTGTGTGCAAGAGCATGCTTAATTGTATTCTGGTTCCATTCTTTGTTTGGGGCTCTTGTTAWGTACTGAAATGTCTGTTGTGATGCATTTCCTGATAATCTTTGTTTTGCTCAGGAATGGAAGCTGGAYACTCTCTGTGATTTGTATGAGACACTGACCATTACACAGGCTGTTATTTTCCTGAATACAAGGAGAAAAGTAGACTGGCTTACAGAGAAAATGCATGCCAGGGACTTCACAGTCTCAGCTCTGGTAAGAACTGCTGCTTCCWATCACTTCTGAAATGCCCTGTATATACTGGAAAAGAAATTGTGATGAGGGGATATCAGAAGCAGGAAAGTTATAATATAGCTGTGCAGTGCTGTATTATCGTTCCCCCTGCTTAAAGTAAAATGTTTCCTTTCTATCCCTACCTGCTTCGTTCCCACAGCAGGTAGGGACGCTGGGTTTCATACATGCCTTTGTTCTTCAGAGGATATTCCTAAGTTTGGAGCATTGGAACYGCACTAATTGAGACTTTGTTTAATTCTCCAGCATGGTGACATGGACCAGAAGGAGCGGGATGTTATCATGAGAGAGTTCAGATCAGGGTCYAGCCGTGTCCTGATCACCACTGACTTGCTGGTGAGTTTTGTCTTAACACTGAATATGTTCCTGTTACAGCCTTGTCCCAAAAGCTTCATMATTCAGTGATGGTTTTTGTAACCTGAACTATTGGGAGCTTTTTGGAAGAGCAAGGACCATGCTCCACTATGGACTACATACACAGTTGTAGTTCATAACTAATGATGTGGTTGACAAAAGCCTGGAATAGATAACTTTATTGCAAGTCAAGGACTTTTTGTAAAGACTTGGTGTTGCTTTGCAGGCTCGTGGCATTGATGTGCAGCAAGTGTCCCTGGTTATCAATTACGACCTGCCGACCAATCGTGAGAATTACATTCACAGGTCAGTTGACTCTGCCCCAGTCAGTCCCTCTGCTGTGCTGATGTGGGCATTGGCACAGACTCTCTTCGGCTGTTTAGTCCTCACCAAACCAGAGGTGTTGGCATCCATGCACACAGTGAATTCTCAGAGCTGGCGGGATAAAACCACTCCTGGATTGGCTTTAAATAAGCCCTTCCTTGCACAGCTTTGTTTCTGAAATCAGGGAGAACTTTTRAACCCTTAAAGCAGTGGGAAAACTTAGATGTGTAACAGGTTCGGTGATGGCTGAGGAATCATGGAGGTATGGGGAAAATGCTAGCGTTGAAATGCTTTTTGTCACATAGGCTGTGACACGAATGCAAAGCTGTTACTGGTGCAGCGTCTTTGACAGCAGGGTCAGCTGGATATGGGGTTCTGGCTGATAGTGTGTCGTTGCTGCTCAGTTGCTGTCTCATCCAGACAGACAATGCTACTCGTAGCAAGAGTTGTGTAGGACTGCCTTCACTTGTGGCACAGCTGTGTTCATGTTGTGTGTGTCATGTTTGCTCTTGGTGGCTCCTTAGTGGGATTCTTTCTGGTGTGTGTTTTCCAGTAGCAATTTGTTTCCCTAGGTTTAGTTAACTGCTTCTAGTGACTGTCCCTAAATTAAGTAAACTGTGCTTTGTTACTTGATGTAAAAAAATACAGGAGTCGATAGCAGCAGTTGATGACACAAGATGGTGCTCAGAAACGACGTTGACGTAATTTAGGACGTGGATTCGTAAGCGGCACAGTTTGAATAAGAGCGAGTTGGTATTTATTTATTTATTTTGTCATGATTATCCCCTAAGTTCTGTGAGCCCTTTCTGTGTATTTAGCTCTTGCTGGCAAGGTGCTCTACTGTGCAGTCTGTAGGAAGGTGGAGCTCATGGTGGGTGTAACTAAACTATAAGCGCTGTGTCAGTGACTGATGTGGGTTTATGCAAAAATGTAGATCCGATTTTGTTCTTTTAAACAACAAAACCCTAAGTTTTCCCACTGGAAACAGTTAGGCTGAATTTGAAATTGAGTGTGCTGTTCCATGTTACTGGATGTAATTGGATTAATTTAGTAACAGCCTGATTATTGTTAAACAACAGCCTGTCTTCTGTGTGCTCTGTGCTTGGGAGTTGGATGCATGAGGGGGTGGGTGTGTTGTTGAACAGAGGGGAGGGAGACTGACCCAGGACCTCAGAACACAGCACCAACATTAAAATTAAGATCTTACTTTGCAGCCAAAGACTAAACCGTGTGTGCCCTGCTGCCTGCCACGGGATGGACCTGCTGTGCTGCTGGCACCAACTGCTGGTTTTTCCTGACCAGATGTGACTTGGGTGGCAGCTGGTCCTGTTAAGGCAGCATAGACTGGCCAGTGGCAGATAAGAGCAGCAGTTACTGAATGGATCTTGCAAACATGTAAAGCAAATGAGTGGTTAACTTGGGTGTAAATGTGTTCTCTTTTTGTGCAGAATTGGCCGGGGTGGCCGTTTTGGCAGAAAAGGTGTGGCTATCAATTTTGTCACTGAAGAGGACAAGAGGATCCTGCGAGACATTGAGACTTTCTACAATACTACAGTGGAGGAGATGCCGATGAATGTGGCTGATCTCATTTAGTCCCCGGGATGAGGTGGTTGTGAATCCAGTGCTCGCTGTTGCTGAATAGGCGATTCACAACGCGCATTGTGCTTCTTTCTTTGGGGATACCTTGAATCTTGTCTCAATGCTCATTACGGATCAGAAATACAGATTTTTGATAAGAGAAGCGACTTTCTGTCGTGAGCTCTTGTGGGGAAAGCCATTGGCTTTGTCCACTTTAGGGTTAGACTGTTGGGGTTGGGTGGAAAGTCATGGGGTCTGTAAATTTTTTCTTTATTAGAAATTTATTTCCTAGTTCCATAGAAGTGGTTGTATTAGATGTTCTTTATCATTTAATAATTTACTTATGGACTAAAAGATATAAGTGCTGTATAAAGTCAGCCAATTATGTTAAACTAGCCTACCTTCCTTTATTGTATGTACTTACACCTCAGATGAAATTGGAAAGGCCTTTCAAAATCTAAACTTTTATAAGAGCATTAAAATGCATTTTTGTTTCATATGTATTTATTCAATAAAGTATTTAATTAGTGGTAAGTGTGATCTGGACCCTGTTGCTAAGCCCCAGCAAGCAAGCAATCATACTATTGTCTTAGTTAGGGTTAAACCCAGTAAAATTTGCCATATTGCACATGTCTTAATGAAGTTTGAATGTTCAATAAAATACTTCTATATTCACTTAAATTGTAAATAGTTGCTTCTTGGGTTGAGGGGAGGGTGACAGCAACCTGCTCTGTCTCAGGCTCGGAGCTTAAGCTGGCCCCTACTGCAGCTTTGTCCTTAATCATTAATTGYAGGGGTGGTTCTGGAGTAGTACAGGGTGAGCTGCAAGTGCCAGCATSTTCCTGGGTGACACAGCTCTGGGGTGCTGGACCTGTGTCCTTAAAACTGAAACCCATTCATCAGAGTGGAAAATTGCTCACTTAATTGGTGCTGGCTTGATGAAAAACCTCTGCACTGCGTCATTTGTGCTTAATACCTGTTCAAGGTGCATTTTTTTCCCCAAACCATTCAGGAATGTAGACCAGGTGATGTAAACAGCCTGAAAGGACCTATATGCCACAGACCCTCAGCAACCGAGAGCTGTGTTCATCCAAGTCACAGCTTGAAAATGGTTTGTCAGCCACAATAGAGTGAAATGACAGGAAATCTAACACCTTCAGAACGTGACCTACCCTTCCCTGCACATTTCTTAAATAGCCTGAGTGAAATTAAAATTTGGAGTATGTTTAGTAGTGAAGTGATTTGTCACATTTAACCTTAAAGGATCAGATACAAGAGGATGGAGGCATAGGCTGTGTGCCCTCAGGAGCTGGGTTCAGCCTGAAGCTGGGTTCAACAGGGATGGGATCATTTTGCCAAGTCAATCTATTCAAAGCCAATATGGCCTAAAACAAATAAACAACCCTCCTGTCTCTGCCCAAAACTTTAGTATATATTTGCTCATTTTTGATACATTTATTCTTCCATGTGTAAGTGCACAACAAAAAATGCACAAGTAGCCCTCTGCTCTTTACCCAGTGTAAAATAGTAAATATTCCAGGCTGAGGTTTTTCAACTGCAGTGCAGTCCTTTTATTGCAAAAAAACAGTACAAAAGTACACAGATCCTGCTCTCAGAGCTCCAGCCACCCACGGAACAAAGCGGGGAACTGGAGRAATCAGGTGTTCTGTGTGAGCTGCTGCATCACAAGGGCACAGAGACTCATAAGCTGCAAGAATTCATCAGCACCATCTGCCAGGCATTTGTCCACTTCCTGCAGACAGAACAGAAGGAAAAACGTCTAAAAATGGCGGCATTCAAGGCAGCTGTGTCGGGATACAGTGGAGAACAAGAAGTTTGCCAGCTCTCTTACTCAGCACAGATTTCTCCAGCAATCACATCACATCCCCATCCAACTGGACTGGGAACAATGAGCTCTCCAGCCTCCATCTAGAATAGGCCACCACATGACAGTTCCACACACAGTGAGATGCACCACTGGCTCTGTAACCATCACCGCAGGGCATCCCCACCACCTGCCTGGCTACAATGACATCAGCAAAACCTCCACTACAGCTAGCTTCCCTTCTTTATCAAAATGGAGCAAGTTAATGAACCTTTTTCGGAAAGGCATATTTTATGCAGCAAAACAAAAACTTGAATTTCGCAGCTCCTACCTTTAAGTGCTGATTTACTCTCAATATTCTCTCCCATGTTAAATTAAAAAACTCCAAAACAAATCCACAAACCTCTTGACTGAATCCCATTAGAACAACATAAYATGGATAATAATTCACTTAACTGGATTTTAATTCCTTCTCATGAAATCTCTCAGGATAAAAGTTTAGGTTCTACCAAGAAAGATTCAGAACAAAAAAATCAAATCACGTACTTCTGGAAAGAGACTGTGCAAACAAAAATTCATCTGTGGAGATTAATTTTTAATTAATTAGTGTTCTGTTTTTTCTAACTCAAGCTAAACTTACTGCAAGTTTCTCAACTATGGCAGATTTCTGCTTGTCGCTGTAATCTTCACTCTCCACAACSGTGTCATGCAGCTGGTTTATAAGCTGAGCAACAGCAAACCCCTCATTGATGAGATTCTGCACAGGGAGAGAGGAAAATGGAAGTAATTCAGCAGCAGAAACACCATAAACTGGAAAAACAATTCTGAAAAATTCTGTCTGAACTGAGACTACMCTGCAATTTAGTATGGAACTTGTACATTTTAGAGGACAGCCCTGCCCTGCATCCTGCCCGACAGTGACCCAACGTGAGCACCTCAGAAAGGCTGCACAAGCAAGGAAGGCACAGAGCACTAGTTTTGTCCAAATGTTCTTCCAGCTTCTGACAATTTACATCTTGGCAATTTAATGAGACATTTAAAACATTTAACAACCTTCACTGAAACTGTCCAATCCTATTCTAAAATTAGGAGAGCTTGGCATCCACAGCATCATGTGGCAGTTTCACAGCCTTCACATTTTAAAGGGCCACCTACTTGTGATTTATTTTCTTCATCTGGTCATTGCTAGTCTCAGGCACAGAGAGATCTGTAAGGCCAATGATATTTTAATAAAGTAAAAACCCCATGACAACTAAAGATAGCTTTTAAAAAAAGTCAGTAGAGCCCAGTTTCAAAAACGTCAAGTATTGAGAACAGTGGTCAGTGAAGCCATTTAGGGAGAGAGAAGTTTATGAAAATAGAAATAGAGTTGGTGCAACCTTATTTTTCAGCTGTTCCGCTGAACAGCTCTATATGCCATCAGTTTAACCCAGGGGAAAGCCAGTCACACACATAGGGAAATTTATTTGCAACTTTGACAGCTCTTCTGCAGAAGGGAAAGACTGGAGTCCTAACTGGTAAAAGACACTTCCCAAACATGCATCCAAACTGACTGGGGCCAAATGTTCTTCAGCTGCARCCTGGGAATAAAGGATTCACAGGGCAGTGACTGATAGAAATAGCCAAGCTAAGCACAAGAGAACTCTACCTTTGCCAGTGTTTCCAGTTTCTCAAAGGAACCACTCTGGCAGCCCAATAGCAATTCATCAATCGTTTCTTTAGGGATGACCTGTAACAAGAAGTAACATCTCTTAATTTCAACTTTGTCAACTTAWGTGAGTGTTGATGCTTAAAGTACAGATATAAACTGTTGGTGGCAGAGGCCATTTCAGGATTTCATTCCTCTACACACTCARCCACTTCAAGTAAGTATATGAGACAGAYTAAATACATTTCAAAAGTGAGAGCGAGTCTGTGATATTTGTCCTGTATTGGTGCTGTTAGAACAAAACCCATATAATGACAATCGACTGTCAAAGTCACCTTCCTAAATCCAACACAACTGTTTATTCAGGACACTGACTAAGAAGAGGACATACTTCAGCAGTTAGATCAGCCAATGCTTTCTGTACCATTTTACACCTAAACAACACATCAGTTTTATTTCCAGTGACACACCCAGGGYATCCAAAAAAAGCCCAATGCAACAAGACAAGACAATAAATCAGAAGAAAAAAAGTTGACAGATGCCATTATTGCATTCTATGTGGAGAAGAGCTGCCCATTTTCCCCTCCACTTGTTGTCATTTCTGTCAGCTGAGTGCCTGAACAGTTTGATTTCAAAGCTTCKTTATTAATCTTTTGTACTAAGGTGCTCTGGGGTCACAGAAGTTGTGTATGACCAAGAACTTCAAGCTTTTATGAAGACATAAAGTTGGGTTCCTTGGTTTAAACAAGCATTATTCATTTAATAATGGAATTTCATGCTTCTCTTTCCTATCATTACAGTCAATTCCTGCMAGGTTTCAGATGCCTGGTATGTATTCAGATATCGGCTGTTTTATAGTTAGATACACAAAACTGAACAATGACTTCGCTGTGAAAATTTTTTAAATTTGTTCTGTCAAACTGCACAATAGCAATTGCTTCTGGTTTCATCAAAGTGAGAAGCTCCCAACCCCTACAATCAGCTATGATGGCAGTACCTTCATGGGAAGTGTGCCCMTCATTAAAACTCATCTATTTTTCAGCTCCTCAACTCCTAATCACACATTTTCTTTTTCAGGGGTGTTWTGTTGCTATAGGAACACCTTCACACAAGTTTTATTGAATGCATTTTCTCAGGTTTCTCCTGTMCCTCTCAGTATTACCCATGTCATTCTAGAACAAACCACTGCTGTTTCATTAAAAAGCAGGATCCACACAGATCCTTGTCACTGTCACTGTGAACATTAAGTTGAAAATGAGCTGCTACTGAAAATCACTCCCCTGTGGTGCTTCCAAACCAATATTGCAATGATTTAYGCTTACACACACATACAAAAAAGCACCARAAAGATGTTCTAATCTCTCCCACAGAAGGCAACACATTTTGYTTTTACGGGCAGACTATTTCAACTTCAGTTTGAATTATAAGACTATTTTACAGTTTTCCATGACCTACAGAAAAAGTTGCTAGAAACCTGCTATGTCCTAAGTGTACAGAATCAGGCAGTCTTTAAAATTCTGTGGATAGTGTATCACTACCAYGCTGCAAAACTAGTTGGCATAAAACAAATTTTTAAGTAAACTTTGAGCAATGGTAGATAGAGGTAGCAAAAATGCAATTCAGAGTAATTACAGGAGAAATTTTAAGGCACAGCTTACCCCAGCAATTTCAGTGATTATATTCTCTGTAATCTCCTTCCCACCCATTAGGCGAGTGGCACTCTGAAGAAAAGTAATTGCTTTTCTTAAGTCTCCTTCTGACACTTTCACAAGGTATGATACTGCCTGTAAAATAATGTCAGAAAATACTAAGTTATATGCTCACTGTTAGTTAAAATCTAGTTCACTTTTTCAGCAGTTATTTGAAAACATCAAGCAGTGCCTAAAGCAGGTTTTCAGAGCCAAGCACAATAAACAAGTTACAAAGCAACCTCTCTGCTAACACAAATGCGTGCTGGCAGTTTCAGAAAGAAGCACGATTTAATGCCAGTACACTCAGCAGAGAACAAAAAGGCCCACATTTTTTTCTGATGGACAATTTCTCTGTTTTAGGATGACTTAAAATTCATCTCGTCTATGGAAGGAGAATAAATGAGTTTATGTACTTTATTTCATACAATTGAGCAGTCTGGAAAAGTATGCTGACTTGGCCTCTTTYGCTGCCATGCAATTACGCACTGGATTAAGCAATAAAATTACATGGCAACCACAAAGTTACCTCATTACTGATTTTCACATGCTCCTTCTCAGCAACATCCAACAGCCTCTGCTGTTGGATACTGTCTGACAAAGGCTTGAAGCGGAATTTGGAGCATCGAGATGTCAAAGGTTCAATTATTCTGAAAGAAAGGAAGGAAAGTGGTAAATGAATGTGTGGTCAATTTCTCACAGACAAARTTATAAAGGCAGAAAAGGTTTTAAAACCCCTAAAACTGCAACATCATAAAAATTWAAACTGAAACCTAAGTATTGTTTCAGGCTTGCATGCATACAGCAATGTTTCCATTAAATGAAAACTATGAAAATAAGATAAAAACTTTTAAACAGGAGAAAAAAAAAGAGAGAACACAGACCAGACAGCAAACCCAAATAAGCCACAAATTCCACATGTACCTGCTGATGTAGTTACAAATAAGACAGAAACGTGTTGTTTTAGATTCTTTTTCCATTGTGCGTCTTAAGGCTGCCTGGGCTGCTGAAGTCATAGAATCTGCTTCATCCAGGATTACAATTTTAAAAGGAGGACACATTTTACCACTGCAAAATCAGAAATCTGTTATTCAGCAGACATGCAATRTACAGACCAAGGGAAAAAAGCTCCAACAAAAAACATAAACAAAAAAATCACTGCAAATAGCAAGTAATAGTTTACTTGATAAATAGAACATATTCAGAAATTCAATCTTTTCCAAATTATTTTTAGATTAAAGATTAATATTTGCAAAAAAAGGGGAGACTGAGTTCCCATAGAAAGACTGACACTTGAATATGGCAACAGTCCTCTCAAATACACTATTAATGAAAGTTTCTTCTTTTAACACCTGATGAAGCTCTTCTTTCTAAAGGCTTCCTAATATCCTAAACTCCCAAGAATACTGCAACACCCTGGTATCAGTACACAAGGCCACTTCTTGCCAGGCAGTCCTGGCATGCACTTTCTTCCTACTACTTTCCACAGTCCATACACACAGCTTGACTTGCACTGGCCTTCTCACCACCTAACACCAGAATCCCTTTAGAAACAAACACCCATGTTGTAGGAATTCCAGCAGATTAGAAAGACTAGGGAAGTAATTGTAACCATGATTTACCCAAAGATGTTTTTCTRTTGTAGTCAGACAACATCTGCAAAGGCAACAATGTGTGACCTAACCCAGAAATCTTGATCTTGTGGAGTTTTCCCTGTCTGCCTCCAATGCTAACAGCAACAGTAAAAGATCCTTCCGGGTATTCAAACCTCCAATGTGAAATTCCATGAAGTAAAAGCTCAGCCTAAGCACTGTGTGCTGCCAGCTTCTGGGCAGTGCTGACCCATCATTTATATTAGAAACAAAAACAACCACATKCTTTGTCCTAAGCAGGAGAGGTTTGATCCAGCACTTACTCTGAACGGCTTCCAGATGCAGTTAGCTGAGCAAAAGCCTTCACTTTTTCCCGAATCACTTGTATCCCACGCTCATCAGAAGCATTCAACTCAAGAACTCTTTGCCGGAATAAATCAGGCCTGCAAAATTTTTATTACAACATATTAGYTGCTAACCCTTGTAATGATATGTTATAAAATATAACAACAACCCTTCTGGCTATTTTGAATAGCAGGGATTATTTTTATCACCATTACTAAACAATATTGTTAAAAGACCRTTACACTGAGATCATAAAATGCTAAGTATGAATTTCCAATAGCTATTTTTAGAATCTCCTCCCAGGCTACAGAAAACAATGAAGTATAAAATTACATCAGTTAACCAGGAAAAAAAAAAGTAGGAAGTTGACTTCGTAAGTTCAGAACATTGTATTATATGCCTTTTTACTTACATCCTGTGATCAGTAAAATGCCAAGATACAGTCACTAGCAGTACTACTACAATGAAATAACTATAAAGTACAAGACATGCAGTATTTACCTGCAGTAYTATACTCCATGTGAAAAAAACCCAAACAAACCAACAATTAATACACTGGATTTTAAATACTGGGAATGAAAATGGACTCACAATGTGGWGTTGTCTTCCTACTATTAAAACACAAGTGGTTCTCTCCAAAAAACAGTGAGACAAAAATTAAAAATGACAAATGGAATGGTGGAGAGATATTAAAGTCAGCATTACATTTGATCATAACATCAAACCACCTCCTCATTATTTTTTTGTTTATAGATCATTGAATTCACTACTCAAAAACTCCCAAGTTACAAGTGAGTTAATGAATGCAGACATGCTGAATTGTAGCTGAGTCCCAATGTTCCTTTCCAGACACAATTCAACGGTGCATAACAGACTAGAATTYAGACATTTTACGMAGYACTTTGAGATCTGTGTGTAGCKAACAACTTACTAAATAAACCATAAWCATTGGAATTCCTTTACAAAGTTCAGTAAAGCGCATGTGAAGCATATTTTTCCATACTTTTAGTTAAAAAGTTACATGGCTGCTAGTCTGAAGTGTTGTAAGTCTATACTGGTAACAGGAATCAGTGACTTGTGACAGAACAAATGAGAAAGAAATCTTATGTTAAAGCTGAATTAGAACATGAAGATACTCCTGAAGAAGTGCTGGAAACTACCTAGGAGCAGGCAGGACCAGAGGCACTTCATCACATGATTAAGAGACATGTGACAGTTGATTACCCTGAAGCAACATGATTCCAGCTTACCCAAACAGTTCTCTCGCAGCTGCTAAAATAGTGGAAGTCTTTCCAGTTCCAGGTGGGCCATAGAACAATAGATTGGGAAGCTGAAACAGCAAGGCACCATTTGTAAGAAAAGCAAATAAACAAAAAAAATCCACAAACAGGAAAACCCACTGAGAATCTGAGCACCTAATGGAACACAAACTGTCTACTCACAGTAAAAAATACCAAGTCTCATTCTGAGTCTCTGAAGGAGGACAAGCAGTTGCTGTTTATAGCACAGCATGAACAAGTTGYTATTTGATGGCATCATCCCATGTTCTATCAAAACTGGTATTCCAATCTATATACATTCCAGGACATGTCTGAGATCCTTAAAGCCTACAGATCTTACTGTTACAATTGCAGTGACAYACAAATTTATCACATTTATTTAAGAATGCGGCCTTAAACAACCTGSWGAATACCAACAGCACAGATTAAGCCATCCTTTACTTTCTCAGCTTCCCAGCCTGCCTTSTCCAGCCACACTGAGGATTCTGTGCTCCACCAACTCACTGCAGTGAGCACAGGGCTGCTCGTGAGCGTTGGATTGCAGCAAGGCCAGTGTAGACACAGCCCAACAGTGACTATAGGGAYAGTCCCAACAACTCACTGCACTGTACAGCCCTGGCAAATTCYTACACCCATCCAAGACGTTTTCAAAAGAGACCCATGGCATTTCTTAAAGAGATTAGGTTAATTGATCTTGAAAATAATTTAATTAATGATCTCACCATGAAAAATAGAAGGAAATATGCTGACACAGGAAGATTAAAGCAGCAGAGCAAAAACCRCAGTAATAATTATAGGATGACATTTAGTAGCACAAAGCAAAAAAACTCACAATTTGAGAATATAACTAAGTATCTGCTAGATATCTGAAATTAATTAGATGGAATAAAATATAAGCTAGTTTTGTGTTGTCTGTCAGAGGAGCAGTATAAGCCTGTGTAACATGGTGGCCCTAAATGTGCACTTTTAATACAGATGTAAATTATTAAYACTAACAGGTAATAAGCTGCACAGAGTTCAGGTCATCCTTGACAAGGATGATGAATCCAAATTGGGAAAAGTCATTAAAGGAGTGAAAAGCCTATCTTTATGAGAAATTACTTTTTGAAGAATTTGATTTAGCTAGCTCAGCAAAATAAAAGCCAAGAGGGAATATGACTGATCTCCATAAATACATCTGAGCAACAAAAAGAACAAAGCTGGCATAAACCAAATTTGCATAAGCCATGACTGAATTTTGGYTGAAATCAAGAAGCTTTCCAGGTGACGTAGGAATGATGGTTTTCTATATTACTATTTCAAGCAATCACTTTTATAAATTATCACTTTAAAACGGCTGTATTTGACAATAGGGAATGTTCCACTTCCACATTCTTGAAAATACAGAATCCAAAAGTTCCCTCCAACAAATAGCAAAAAAACCTCTCATTCTGACTTGATTTCTAGCCCTTAGTAAGTATTCTATTTTTAAAGAGTCAAGTAAAATTAGATTAGAGAATTCTATGCTGAATATAGCATGTAATGCAGACAGAATGGGAACAGCAAAACCAAAACCATCCAAAGAGCAGAGAAAAATGCAGGAGTACATAACCTACAATCAGAAAATGAAATASAGACAATCAGTTTGGTAACATACAAACCATTTTAACAACTAAGACAAGACACAGAGCACAGAGTCAATTGTGTAGGTACCCTAAAAGCAGAATAGAAGAATTTCAATCTTCAATCCATTTCTAGCAAATAAATGAATTTCAAGTTTTGCATGCTCTTTCTGCCAATCAAATGCTGCTTGTTTCCCTAATTACTACCAAGCAAACAGCATCCCCTACTAATGAACACTTTTCCAAGTTTAGATACACAATCCTGTATCCTTTATCCTTTATGACTGCTCCAGAAAAATGAAATGTATATTGAATGACAGGCGAAAATTTACCAATCTCTATGCTAGTTTAGCACACTGCAAGGGTAGATGTTGGCAAGGAGATTCTTAATTTCATGCCACTTTGCTAAATCACACACTACTTGTCCTCAAAACAAGCATTAGCAGGGAAAAAGTTTTAATTAGAATCTGTTTCCTAATTCTATCAYACCGACTTTATCACTGTTTCTGTTTCAACCTCATTTATGCTTGTTTCTCACTGAAGTATTTACACCACTTTTCACCAAGYACAGCCTAATCCTTTATGTAACTGTGGCAGTATTTTTAAATAAACTGCAACCTGATCTGGTTATCCATTTTTCCATGCTTGCCAGGAATAAGCAGGATACATACCTGCAGGCATCACTCTCATGGGAAAGCTACCGCATATGGTGCAAATCTCAGCTGCTTTTCCAGACATTTCAGTACACATGAAGATGTAAATTGCAATGATAATCCTACACTAACTCTTAATTTCAGTTATTAAGGTATCATGATGCAAATGAAAACCAAGGAATACCTGACCATTGTMAGTTTCTTTGCAAAACAGCAACAAGAAATCAACAGTCCTGGCAGACAGAAATAAACTACACCAGTTTAAACCCGCTTAGACTCTGCTGTCCCCAATTTATAACAGGACAATGCTTGCCTTTACAGATGGAGGTATATTAGTTATAGGGAATTACAAGTCCTGCTCCATTTAGCAGCTCCCCAGTCAARGCCCACAAATACAGGCCAATCACCAGAAGACTGACTCTCCATTTCCAACACTATGGTTTAAATAAAGAACATTACCCAAACSTACAGCATTGTCACAGCTGTTTCTTTGATCTCACCAGATCTCCAAACTCAGTAAGAACCTCCAAAGTAATGTTTACCTACTGAARTAAGTACCAGCCACCTCACAGTTTCAATCACACTTTTGCCTTTTTGACAGAACAAGTCCTTTCAAAAAACTAATAAAAAATGTCTAATTTAAAAAAAAAAGCAACAGAATATTTTACAGTACTTGCATGATTTTGTTCTCAAATGCCTTGCTGAGTTTGGGTAGCTACAGCAAAATAGAAAGCCTCTAACTAYAAGCAGAAGTTACAATTTGTCTTTTCAACTCAGGAGGCCAAAAGTCAACACAAGTGTACTAGGCTCACAATCCAAGAATCACTGCTGATCCACAAGCTGTAGGGTTTTAAATAACTGTTGCTCAAAATAGAACTTCCCAACMCATCACCTAAGCAATGTTACACAACTGATATGTCCAGACAGAATAGGTGTCTCATAGCAGCTCATTTCTCCTTTGCTGTTAACAGTTCCTTCCTAATTACCTCAACACTATAAATACTGTAATCCTGCAGCATTGCTGTTGAAACGCAGATTTCTGTGCGTACCTTACCTGACAAGGTCACATCACAAGAGCATTCTCAAAGCAAACTAAACGTGGAGACAGGAACTAAAGAAAGAAATGCAAATCTTTCACAGTTGTGCCATACCAGCTTGATTTTGGCTTCATGTACTCAAACAAGTAAGGTACTTCTGCTTTTGCAAGCTTTGATGAAATTATTATTTTCAGACAGAAACAGACTCACATTACTGCAGAGCAAACCATAACTGCAGGCCATGAAAACACAACTAGCTTTTGAAGCACAAGAGTGACCCTCGTAGGTGAAACACGAAGGGGAAAAGGTCTCATTGTGTACAAAGGAAGGAATAGTTCAGATTTGAAAAAAAGCACAGCCATTTCTTGGCTATGTACTTATTTCTCCCTTCAGCCTCTTCACTCCCCATCAGCTGGTTTGGAAGAAATAACCAGCATACACATACCAAATATTTACATTTTCATTCAAAAGCAAATGCAAGTGTAAACAAACGTAACTGCAAATGCTCATCTACACTCTTAGGTCACACAAGCCAACCCTGCAACTGTCACATTTAGCTTTTTAACACAAAGACATTTACTTGGAGACTTTAACTCAAAAAGTTTGGGGACCACTAGCCAGACAGTAGATCTGGCACTTATAAATTAAATTTCCCTCATCAGCACAAAGTTTTACTGTTTAGTAGATTCACAGAGGCACTGATAGGTCACTAGAAATGTTTAGGAATGACTGGCAATCCAGACTTTCTCCTCTTGTCTAAATAGGAATGTCAAAAGTACCAGTGGAATAGCAGTGTGGAGACAACAAAAGCTTTTACAGGTTTGAAAYTGCATCATGGAACTGACAATTTTACAGTGTTTAGAGGACTGGAAATACCAGAAGCTTTGCACACATATCACAACAGGATATATCATAAAGGATATATCATGAGAAAGTCATCTTTTTTGTGAAGTACCACTGTAAAAATGATCAGTGCTAAACTGTCTAAAAATGCTAATTAGGTAGATGTTGTCATTACACTCACATCAGCACCTTCCAGGGACTTCTTCAGCACAGCTACAACTTCATCCTGGAAGGCGACTTCATCCACATTTTTGGGGCGACTAAATAAATAGACATTAAATATGATTTATTAGCTAATAAAGTTTCATAGGAAAGCTGAAATTGAGAAAAACATTTCCCCTCCTGATTACATCAAGYATTGAAGAACTACAGTGAACTTTGCAGTTGACATCAAAATCATAACAGGAAGTCTACAAGCTTTTTCTGTTGTAAACACTTGTCTGGGATATTTTTAAAAGCAGAACTGCAATATTTCACCACTTTGTGATAAAGGCTTCTCAAAACCCCAAACTTACGCACCAAAACACAGCGATGAAACAGCACTGTTTGAGAAGGCCAAGAGGAATTTTCTCCTCAGTACCAGCCACAAARGGCACTTAMARTAGCTCAGAGTCTTGGATTYCCCTCGTAAYAGRRRAARTTAAGCTGCTCTTCCTGGTGGKGACATCCAAACCTGMGACCCCTTTTCCYTATGAACCCACTGCCTCTCTACACMCCGCCAGAGCCAACCTCCCCTCTCATGGCCAGCGACCCCACTGCCCCAGAGCATCCCTTACTATTTCTCCACCCAGGGGATGGGTTTGGTCCTCTTGCCCTCCCCGCTGCTCCCGGCCGCGCTCTTTTCCTTGGCAGCGACGGGCTTGGTGCTGATGGAGGCCGGGCCTTTGAGGAAGGCCTGCATGGCTGCGGCTGTGCCGTGCCGGGCTGGGCTGGGCTGGGCTAGGGCCCCTTCACAGCTCTGTCAGCCTCAGACCCCTCTCACTCCTCAGACCCCTCAGACCCCTCAGGCCTTTCCCGCCAACCCGCCCGCGCTCAGGGGCGGGGCCGCTTCCGCCCGCCGAAAGCCAATCACAGAGCGCGGCGCCGCCGGGGAGGGGGTGCGAGCTGACGTCACCCTGTGCGCGCTGACGTCACCCCGCGCGCGCTGCTGCACCTGAGGGGCCGGGGGGGTGCAGGGGAGCACGCGCGGAGGGCGCGAGGCGGGCGGTGCCTCGAGCGGGGGCGCGCGCTGCCGCCTCATAAATACYGCTTCACCGAGGGGAAATAAAGAACAAAAAGATCCCCCCCAAAGGAACGAGCGCTGTACGAGAGCAACCTTAGGAGGGACGTCTCTGTGTGGTTGGGCCTCTTGTGGTCCTGAGGCAGGGCCTGCTCCCTTCCCCTGATGGCTGGAAGCGGCCCCGAGTGAAGTGAAAGCCAGGAGAGCCCGAGACTGGCCAGGCCCTGTCCTGAGACAGACATTTGCGCTTTTATGGGCGTCGGTGCTCCTCAAACGTGCTCCATCCCTCGCTGCTGCCGGGCGAGCAGCTCCCCCAGGTGTGCAGGCTTAGGGTTATTGGTGCTCCCCCAGGTGTG